TGACTAAAATTCGAATACTATTCATCGCGTATATTGGGAAACGGTATGTTAGAATACCCAATCATTCATTTACGGTGACAGATGTTGTTTCCTATGTACTCGGTAGTGTCTCAGGAACCATCTCTATTTTATACCTCATGGCGATTTCAAAGGTCCTTAGGGCGGAAGTGGTGCAGTGGCGAATGGTACGCTCACCACATGAGCGGTCCAGATATCAAATCCTCTGTCGTGAGGGCCAACCAAGCCTTCCATCCGCCGGGGTCGGTAGATTGGCACCCGACTTGTCTGGAAGAAGGATAAAAAAACACTGACTTGTAAATCGGCTGGCCCCCGCAAGTCATTGTACAGGCCACATGGCACTCAAACGCCACTACAAATGTACAAGTGGAAGAAGAATGCGTGCTGCATCCCAAAAAGGCATTGATCAAAGACCAATGCTTTATCCTTTTATCTTTTATATACCTCATGGGAGGCCGGAAGTAAGCTAAATACTAGGTGCTGCAAAGTGTCTCCATTCCACTTGTACTGAAGTTGCGCTCAGGTTAGTCGGAAAGAAAAAAATACTGTTTTGGTGATTCTGGAAATTTACAACTGCTCAAGCGATTCCCTGTGAAACTCAGTGAAGCGGCTCATCTCATAGAAACCAAGAGCTGTTTAAGAACGGGCCCATCTCTTCAATTCGGCTGTGTTAATGTGTTCTGTCCAATTATATTTGACCAAAATGCAGGACGAGGAAGTGACAGGAGGCACAACTTACCACGCGCGCTGTTCGGAATCAATTCCTGAATTCCGCCCGCCCACTAAGTATCTATTATATTTCTCCGTAATAGGTTGAAGCACACTCTTCTATATTTGGAGGAAGCACTCATATATCTTACCACACAAATAGGCCCCAAGTTTTGTTTCAGAAGAATTTCTAAAGTTCACGAAATTCCGAAAACTATTCTAAAAATTGAAAAAAAATCCGAAAGAACCTAAGAAACAGCTAGGGAAATTCCTCGTTTTTTTCTGGATTTTTTTCTTGCAATTTTTGGAACACATGAAATTTTATGCTTTTGGAATTCTCTTGGAATAAAATTTTGGTTCCTCTTTTATACAATATTTAGGTCCTGATGAGGCTCCGGGACAGCGCAATACTGAGACACTGATATATTATTTATATATAATGGTGGCCCTCGCGCTCCACAGACCAGAATGCATTCATTTGTTGCTGCGACTTTGAACAGAACTCGAGTGCGTGTCGCATTCCAAAATGGATTGATCATTGCTGATGCTTTCTCCATTTTGACATTCATTAGGATGAAAAAAAGATAAAAGAGAGAATATAAAAGGAAAGATAAAAGAGTTGGACACCTTTCGATCTTTTTCTACAATCATGGACATGTGAGGGCCTCGGAGGGTTGGAGGAATGGAGGGCGTTCGACATTCCCTCATTATGCTTGTTTTGCGTCTCTTGTCGTCTATCGCTCAAAGAACCGGTGTTTGCTCATGAGTATCCCGATTTCTTTCTAAAAGACCCCACAACTGACCTTAATTTTGCCATTGTAGCGTTTTTCTTCGCTTTAGTATAGTCATATGTTCGTGTTATCGGTTCTTGCTTTCTTGACGACGCCATAAATTCCTGTGACGATTCGTGGTGTGCGTTTTGCAGCTGCGTCAGAGCACTCGGTCACATTTTTCGCGGCTTATTACAACAGCTTACAGAAACGAACGACTATTGCGACTTGAGAGTGTCGCTTCTCTTCCGTTCGCTATGGGTGCGCTGAGTCGAATGAGTTGGAGCTCCTACTTTCCTCCATTGACGTTCCGCTCTTTTCTATCGCATTATTTACCAGCTTCTGGAGCTGTCTCTCATGTGCTTTTCGCCGTTCACATTTTCAATCCCACTTTCGTATCGAGGTTGGTATTTTTGATCAGATTCTGTTTCTTCGAACGCCTACATAGCCTCCCGTTCGAAAGGCGAGAAAGTGTCGAGTGCAGATTCAACACCATAACTGACGACGACCTCCAAGTAAATATGTTTAGAAGTTGTTCATAGAGATAGCTGATTTCTTTTAAATGATAGTTGTAATTAGTGACAATCGATAGAATACAACTACAACAGGCTGATCATTTCATTGGCAGAAATCATTTACAGTTTGTGGAGGCGGTCGTCGCTTGTGGTGTACGGTCTGCACCCGACACTTTCTCGCTTCTTGAAGGGGAAGGTATTTTTGTGGAGATGATCAATGGTAGTAAAGTCCTCATCTGTGTGCATTCATTGGGAATGAATCTCATTACTTGTTTTCGAGAACCGGAAGCGAAGAACTCCTCTCTGAATGGAATGGGTTCCCCAAAAAAGACCTTCAGAACAAATTTGGTAATTCTTTCGAGCAAATGTTTCGCATCAGGCTTAATTACGCTAGCTCTAGTGCAAAATCACCCCACAATGCTTGAATGCGGCGATTCACTCACAGCACAGAAGCCGTACAAATGAGCAGCGGCTGCCCGCGATGTGCTTGTTCAGTCCATGCATTCACTTGGTCCAGCTTTGCCCACCCAAAAATGCATTCTATCAAGATCGTGAGAACATATATCGTAGCGGAACCTGTGAAAGCCGTAGAAATGAATAGTGTTTTGGAAGGTTTGGAAAGTCGCGAAAGAAAGAAAAACAAATATTGGTCAGGAGAATCTCAAGGTCAGCAGAAAAACCGAATGCGTACCAATCAGTTCAGCCATCTTATGTATAATGTCCTAACACCTGAATGTTTGTCTAATAAAGACGATCATCGATTCATATCCAATTCTTTCAGCAAGCCCTCCACTCTTTCAAATCTTACAAAATTCTGACTGTGAACGCTGAGACGTTCTCCCTAACGGTTAGAAAATAGAGCAGCTCAAGAATTCCACATTTTTCCGGTCTTCAAGGAATTGTGTGGACGCTAAACAGACCTGAACTGTCTCACCAGTTTTTCAAAGAGAATGCAAACTCTGCACTTATGAATGGAATCCATGAGTTTTCAAAATACTGGGGAGCATTTGTGGGAAATAATAGTTGCCATCACGATGAGCAAGCCTCGGTTATTCCTCAATGCTGTAGTCGTAATTACCTTGATGGAACGAGAGCGTCATATTTGGCTTTTGGGATGGCGTACAAGGGTATAATGGGAACAGGTAGGCAAGAATTTTGAAACGTCAACTCGAAACGCAAAAATTTTTCACCACAAGATCGAACTAGGGACCCCTTTTTGGTATTCGGAGGGCCGTACAAGAAAAACTGGCCATGGTTCTGTGGTTCCCACATGTGCCCTAATGTCATACAAGAAACCCTTCTGAAAAAGCTCGGCACACCCTGGACCACCTCCCTTGTAAGTGGCACTTTTGACATCAACGAAAAGGGGTCCTATCGATCAAGGTACCGAGACCGTCACATAGGTGGTCGTACTGCCACGGTCATTTCTTCATCGCTCCATTCTCGCCACGATGTTCACAATGGTGGCCATGCCATTTATTAATTGAGAGTTGTTTTCCTGCACGAATTTTCATTTCTATTTCTATTCTATATCTGGTTATATGCAACAAACTGGCCCTGAAGGTTGAAGCTGTTCAGAATTCTCTTTTTCCTTCGCGGTATGATCCTCTGCAGTACAAGGTCTTCCCTGTGGCTGCAACGCAGTTGTTTCACAATCCACATTTCTGAAGTTATCTCTCAACTAAGCCGAAGACGTGGATCATCCTACTACCAATAATTCGACAGTTTTCGCAGCCACTTCGAGTGCAGTGCGACTAGGTTGTTCTTAATTTGTTAGTCGTTCTGCTTTGTTTGCAATCAACTCGATGCCATTGCCAGTGATATGCAGTCAAGAGAGCTCACGACTGGCTCCTTAGCCTCGCACTCTGTCAACATTGTAGTCCCGGGTTAAATCCAACTCGGCACGCAGCGTTTGTTCTACGGATCAGGGCGTAATTATTGAAACACTCGTCGCTGTCGGGTCCTGCACTTTAGGGGAGCCTCGTCGTGTGAACGCTTTGACAGCTTAATTCACACCTCCTAATGGAGAGCAATAGATTCTAGGAAGGATCAGTCAACTGAATCGATCTGTAATTGTCTCCCTGAAAATGCCTTTCTATGGAAAATAATGAGAAGTGGACTAGTACGGGAAGGGCGACATCTCTCAGCATTCATCGATTCCTCTTGTTGTTGGGCTACACCTTCACCATTCATTCAGAGTTGTAAAGGCATCTGAATGCGATTTTCCTGATGCAAAGATTTGCGTGCCAGTTGAGGTAAACGTCAGTGTTGCCGTTGGCCCTGGTAGCAGTTAACAGCGGGCTGGAAAACTTAAACAGCTTAGACGAGATTCTTGGAGAGAGTCGGGATTTTTAGACCGTGACTTTGATACGTGGCGGCTCTTCTCATTACACCACTTCCAAGATAAGGACGAAATATTCATTGAAAGGAGTCACAATTCCGGAGTTGACTCGCATTTTGATAATACATGAAGGCGGATTTTACAACAAAATTAGCGGCTGTGGAAATGATAGTCAAAGGTGCTACGATGAAGAACAAAAAAAAACAGGAAAAGCGGCCGATAACCCTAGAAATAGGACCCTTTCTGCCTGTTTTCCGTTTGGAATGAATGGGCGATCAAGACGATCATTGGCACTTTTCAAATCCCGATAGCCCGTATAATGTCATCATACATCATGCTTTCAGTAGTAACGCATTACTTAAAAATATTCCAAGATACGGCCGCTGAAGTGAAATGTCCTTCCAAAATGAAGAGCAAACTATGGCAAAAGTAGCAGCTTTCAACACACTTCTTCCATCAACCGGCCACTTAGTGGGCGTGGAGAGCCGCGTGCGCCGCGGTAAAGCCCTGTTAGACCGCTACGGTCCCATACTTTTACGCTAATTGGGTATCGTCCCCGCTTCCTTCTAGGGTGTGCCTCCTTTTCTGCTGGTTTGACTACACTGCTCGACCTGTAGTTATCGTGGAATCTTCCTTCAATTTCAGCTAATGGCCGTCATTCAGGCGCCTATCGGCTTCTTCGCGTCTGACGAAAGGTTTTTATTGATGCTGATAACCGCACGACAGGGGAGCGGTGAGGGGGCGGACGAGGCTCACGTCATAGTGAGGTGCAATCCACGTACAAGCTAAAGAGAGTGAGAGAGGGAAAAGACGTTTTTAATGTCGGAGTTACACATTGTGAACGACTGAGAAAATTTGAAAAACATTTCCAAGTGCTCAGTATTGGATTTCAGTTGACGTTTTCTGCTGCTACTTCTGTTACAATGAAGTCTGTGGGCATGTGGATGCGCAGTAACAATAACATGAGCATAAACCGATTTTCCTATTCTTTTTAGTTACCTCTTCTTCTTTACTTACCAGACGAGTTTTTGCTGTTACTTTCTCAAAATCCTTTTAATGGTTGGGCATAGCAATTAAGGATTGGGCATGAATCTCGAAGAAGTAGCTTTTTTTCCAGTAGCACTGTTTTTACGTTAGATAAGGCTTTAAAGACAGCGATAACGATAAAGAGGGAGCGCACCGGGGAAGCATATACACCACACGAATTAGTTGCTCAGCTCCCAGGGGAGGGATGTGTGGCGCTTCCACGACGAAAGGTGCGCTGGTTGCTGGGCAACACTTTGAAAGCATTCCGCCTTCAAAAGCGAACAGCCCACAGGTAGCTTGGTGATTTGGACGAGCTGCGTTGCCAGCAGCGGCACAAGTGAAGCAACTCGACTGGAGCATGGAACGGCCTGCTGCCACCAAACGCGATGCGATGAACTCGTTCATACGTCCTCCTACGTGTTACTTGTTCATAAGTGAAAACCAGCGGCCAAAAAAGAGGGTCTCATTTTTCGTTTTTTTGACGGATTTTTGCACTCTTTTCGCCACTGGCATACCATTGAGAACCACCAGTCTCCCATGAACCCTTTATGATCTTATCGTAATTACTGCCCTTAACCTATTATAAAAGCAGATTTTAACCAACGTAAGTATTGATTGAATTTGAGCATAACATCGTAGCGTTTTCCTTTCCGAGCTGCGAATTCAGTGAAAACAAGTATTACCCAGAAAGTCACATATTTCGTTTGAATGTACTCCTTCTGCTCTATAATACTTTACATGCCATTTTCTTCCAAACTGTAAGTGTACTCAGATATGGTTCTTGGAAGTTGGCAAGTAAAGGTGGGCGAAAGTCCATATGAAGAAAAAAGCTGCCAAAATAAGTTTTTCGGAATCCATCGTCATCATCTAACCTCACTCCAGTCGACCGTCAATGCGATCGCTACGATATTATGCCCTAACCCGATAATTTGAGCGCTTGCAAATTATACGTGAACAAACCAGCTTCAGGAAATTATTAGCTGGTTGGTAGAAGAAGGAAGGGTATTCATAGGGTAGTGGTTACATCCATCCTTGGTGAGTATCATGAGTTTTGGGCATACAGGTATAGATTGGTCACTGTATTGGCTGAGCACTATTGCTGCTTTGACGTGCAATGAATTGACTACTTAACTCCATGGCTCGGGAGTGTTCGATCTCTGGGGGGAGCAAGTTGAAGCGAAGATGTATTGTTTTGACTTTACCCTTTGACGACAATGGCACCCACCGGTGGGTGCCACTATGTTCGTCGCGTGGGACAATGGCACCCAATGGTGGGTGCCACCTTAAAATTTCCTTCTTGTATACTCAAAACATTTGTAACACCCCAGTAAATATAAGCAAGTTCTATGATACCTATGGCTAGCACGACTCACAGAAACGCTTACTAAGAGCTAATTTAAATAGAATTTCTTAATGTGCATTTAGCTCACCACCATATTAATTGGGGTTTTAAATTATTAGGTCGAAGATTAATTACTAATCAGGACTTCTTCGTCTTCTCATAGCCCTCAGATACAGGAAGGAGTTTGAAGTGTACCGGAAATTTTCTCGGACACTCAAACTTCTAGAGTTTCAACCCTCGTACCCTTCGAAAGGCCGATTCTCCGTCAAAGTTTGGAATTCACTTGAAAATTATTTACAGTATGAAAGCCTAGAACTGCAGTTTACCTGGTATACTGTTAGAGTGGAAAATTCTGCAGAAAAATTGCTTCAAAGGACAATTTTGCCTAATTGTGAGCGAAAGTTGGGTGCACCAAAACAGGCGTGGTCCCACGAGCCAGCTACGTGCAAATTAGCATTGTCGTCAAAGGGTTAAAGGCACAACGCAGGATGAGTGTAGATAGATGGATCCCTCTCGTGTGTAGGATAGAGCTGCTCACTTAGGCTGCAGATGTCCTTCCCGGCTCCGAAATGCGTAGCAAGAACGCTAGGAGCTTGCACAAACGCTTCAGCCGCCTCAATTTTGGTCGTCTGGGTGTCTGGCGCTCTCTCATCTGTTGCTCTCTTTCTCGTGTCCTCTCCTACGCCTGCTCAGTCTCTCATTGCCTTAAACAGTCGAAGCGAACAGCTAACTAACCCCTTAACTTTAGCGTTTCCGATGGGCCCTTTTCTTTTTCTTCACTGCGCACCAACGTTTCCACTTTCGTGTGCGCGAACAACACCACTCGATCCTGCCTTTATGCCCCATTTGCTGCCCATAATCAGGAAAGAATCGTTTTATGCCCCTCTAATTTTTTATAGGTCTCCCAAAGTTTATGGACAATTAGAGTTATGGGTAAATAGCTTTGCAAGACCAAAAATCAAACGAAAGATTGCGGGAGCACGTTCATGTGGGGAAGAGGAGATGGATTGCTATGCAAGCTCATTAATCAGAGTAGAAGCTAAAGAGGATTACACAAGATGTTCCAGTTTGTGTAGTGGATTTGTCGAACACCTGATAAATTGTCACGGGGCTTTCCATGATCCACCAATCATGAATTCTGCCTTTTCAGGGTCTTCACAGTCGGGGACTTGGCGGTCAGCAACACAATCCTATTCACAGCAAATATCGGTCTCGGTTTCTATGTCTACTACCGCCATCACTTGCACCGACTTCGACCATGGGATCGCGTAGAATTCAGGTAAGCCGTTGCGAAGCTCTAGACTGAATTTGGCCAACATGTCCTGTATGTTCTCAATATTTCTATTTCAGTGTTTTTTCAACCACCATCTTCAATTTTGGCAGCTTATTAGCTGCGGTTCTTATTAAAGCCCTGTTACCCAACAAGTAGGTTTCTTTGGTTTCTTATCAGATATCAGTATGATTAGCTACTTCCGTTTTAGGACACCCTCATGGACACGGTGTTTGTTGGGTTCGGCACTGAGTGTCTATCTTCTATCGAGAGCATACAAGTATCTGCGTTATGTGGATGAAAGATCTGCCAGGAAGTCGCCCACACCACGAAGGTAACTTTGATGAAAGTGATCATCTCTACAAAACACGATGAATTCCCCAAATGAAGGGGGTATCATGATTCGCAAGCGAAGAAAATCGATAGTAGCTGATTGAATAATACGGTAGACGTTCAACATCTCATCAGGGGGGTGCCACCTTCCTCGATTACATGACAGTCATGCAGCGAGAGCGCGGGAAGGTCATACAATTATGCAATATTTTCCCTGGAACGATGTGATAACGAGGTGACGAATCGGTTCTCCCTTGTTGTCCCCCCGTTATGTGCTGGCTGGCATCCTGCTCTGTTGCTAGGCTGAAATCTTGAACGGAAATATACAAACATCACAGAATTCTGCCAATCGCTGGCTTCTGTGAACGGCACAAAAGCTCCCGTTCGGATTCGACGACGGCCGAACATGTTCTGGTTACCATCAGGCTTCTCATCAAGTACGCTGTTGTAGGTGTAGTTGCAATACCCGTTCGCTCGTCTTCGAGCATTGAGCGATTTTGGGACAACTCAAAGTGCTGGTGAAAGTTCTAACCGAGATTCTGTTTGGTAAAGTACATTCAAGGCGTCACGTCACTGCGGGAGGGGGGGGGGCTAAATAAACTGTACTTAATATCTTACGGATAACTTGGAAATGTTCGGCAGCGTAGCAGCGTAGTTAAAGAAATGTGACCATGTCGAAGTCATCTCAGTCTCTACACTTTGGATTGCGATAGCGGGTAAAAAGGGCCCGGGTAGATCCAGATGTTTTTTTCCCATGTTAACCCGATGTAAACTACTGAAACCGACATTGGTTCGCAGATAATAATCACCGCGGAGAATTTGCGGCGCCACGACGTCGTCGCATTGGTCCCATCACCACCATCTGTAAATTGCCTGTGGTCGGCCAGAGTGGCACCTGGCCATACCAGCACCGTATTCCCAGGTGAATCAGCAGTTTTCCTCATAGCAACGGCTTGTGTTGTATTACCCGCATCCGGTTGTACAAGAAGTAGAGGATCGAGAAGCAGCAAATGCGCCCCAGTTTGAGTCCCCTCGCTCAATTAGGTGGCGATTCTGAGCTTCATAGATTCAAATCCACTTCCCACCATTGTGTGGGCAAAAGTTGTGTTGAAAGAAAGACGAGAGGTTGTAGACGATACGTATGAGTGGTCGATGTGGAAGAAAATATTCTAGAAACGACGTCATTGAAGCCGCATGTTACTCATATGTTTCCCCGGTAAAAGTGAGCGGGCTGGGGAGGGTAGTCGGCAGTGGTCAATTGAGTAAAGGTGGGGTACGCACAGTTTACCGTGGTGGTAGGCGCCGGATCCATTTCCGGTAGGCTGTAATGGCTGCGTACTGGATATGATACCTTTATCGTTATCGTCTGATTTTCATTCTGGAGTGCTCCTCATCCAAGCAGCCGTATCTCCAATCGTTTTGTATTGTATCTTCCATGGAGTTGCTCTCGTCCAACTCAGCTCTTATCTCGAGTCTTTTGGTTGATAGGGCATAGTGTGTAGCTCCATCTCGAAGTCCGCGTGATCGCTTCCGCTTTGCAGAAGTGGAAGTAGTGCGGGAATCCAGAATAAAGTTTAGATTTGAATCTCCCAATCATGTTGCAGATACCGTAAGGGAAAGTGGGTACTAACGTTCTCCACTCGAAATTGCCATGCCCGCTCAGCAATCTCGTTTTAACGATGTCATAATAGGGCCAGCTATCGGAAGAAAGTTTCACGATCTCGGAGGAAGTACTGTTTTGCTTAGAATCATAAGAGCGTTCATTTTATACAGCGATCACCTATAAAGTCGTTGACTTGATTTTGCCGTCTTCAACTGGTTTTTAGTCAAGTTACTACTTGGGATGGTAAGAAAGTCCTGAACCGATTTTCCGAAAGTTCCAAAGTTTTCGCTTATTGATCAGTCCAAAAATCTGTTACATGATAGATTATGGCTGTCGATCATACTTCTCCGCAGTAGGTATATAGCCGGGTTGTTCTCTTTAACTTTAATCATGATGTCGATTTCACAAGAGTACTTTCGAGCAGTCTTCTTCAATGAATGGGGCTGCGGCGCAGGAGCATTGGGAACCGTGAAAATTATCAGCATCGCGCTGGGAACGGACACCACTTCCATCATGAGTGCCAAGCTCTGATTCGCAGGCTTCGAAGGAGGAGACACGGCTTCCAAAGACTAGACAGGGTTGGGAGGCCCTCAAACAGGGGAAGACTCCACCGTTTTCGGCGCTGTCAAGAGGATCCAAAGGTTAGCACCCGCAGCCTTATTATAAGACTCAGGTGCACCCATCCCGCAGTCCTCAGTCCCCTCCACGCCCTCGCCACAGGAATGTGCCGACTCGATAGATCCCTCATGTCTTGACCGATAGCACGCGGCTCAGGCGGGTACCCATTTGTCAGTTTCTCCTTCTTTGTCCGCACCGAAAGGAGTTTCTGGAAAGCATGATTACGAGAGATGAGGGTTGGGTTCTCTACGATTCTAACAAGCACAGTGCCGTGTGGCTCCCTCAAGGAGATGACCCGCCGACACAAACAAAATCGGACCTTCACCCCAAAAACTGTCTTCTTTGCTACCTCAGAGATTCGTGAGGAACGTTGTATTATGAGGTGCTCCCTCAAGAACATACGGCTATCGGCAGCATTTACGCCAGTCAGCTCCAGAACACTTTTCAAGAAAAACGACCTAGACGAGCTTCTGTCCACCTACTCCACGATAACACCAGGCCCCACATAGCTAAAAAGGCCCATGCAAGATTAGAGGAGCTTGGTTAAGACTCGGTTCCCTGTCCAACCTATTCCTCCGACATTGCCCCTCTGACTGTTACTTGTTTCGCTACCTTAAGACATTCTAGCGAAGAAAAAATTCGCCAAAGTTGAAGACGTTGAAAGGGTGGTCGGTGATTTCTTTGTCTTCCAGTCTCTCTCGTTCTAAGAGAATAGGATTGCTAACCTGCCCGTAAGGTGGGACAACGAAGTGAGTAACAATGGTGACTGTATTGTTGAGTAAATTCCATTGTACGCGGAATAAAAAAGTAAAGCAAAAAATGTCAGACGACTCAAGTCTTTCTTACCAATCTTATAATTCTATCATTTTGAAATTTGCAGGAATCTTAAAGGAATCCTTCGCGGAAAATTCTTGCATTCTTTCTCAACATGAATGTATCAGTTGTGATCACTAGATGCAATACACAAATTTTTACGCATGAAGGTTCGGTTCCAGAAGAGAATCAAACTCACGAAAATCCATTCGATGGACAGTGAAGGTAATTCGGGTGGAGCGAAAGGCGAGGCATGCAAAGAGTCCGCCTTGGGGCGGCTACGCATTAGACGACGCAATGAAAGAATCTGGTTAAAGCGTGCGATTTTGGAGAGTAGGGACAGATTGATCGATAGAATAGGATGGAGTAAAAGTGTGAGACGTGAATTCAGTAATTAAGAAAGAAAAACCATTAAAACAAAATAATAGATACGGTTCGTTTCGCTCCTTCCTCAGACGAACCTTATTATCAGTAAGTCAAGGTGCCTGAAAAAGTTCCTAGTAAAGGCACTCCAAGAACCAAGTGGAAGCATCCCCGTCGCTAATATTTGTAACAGATGTGCGGACCTAGCAGAGCAATAGCAGACCTTTTGTTTCCAATTTTTTTTATAACATCGCAATTTTTCTTTTCTTTTCATTTATATCGTGCCGTTTTCAGTGTTCGTTCTCCAGTCGTGCATATGGAGAAGAACGGTCGCACTTCGTACGTACCGAGCCATCACGTCAACGCACAAGAGAAACCTGTAGTCGCCAACGGTCAAGAGACCGCCAACGTCGCCAACGGACACGGCAGCCAGACACTCCATGACGGCGATGCCTCAAGTGGATACGGCACGTTGCGGAATGACGCGTCCTTACCGCTGCCATAATCGTGCACGGAACGCAGGCAGAGCAAGAATAGAGTGAGCAGTACGGACAGATCGGTAATGTCTGATCTCCTCAACGTTGGACGATGTTTTCAATGACCTAGGCACCTTAGATCCCATTTTGGACGAGTTTACGCGTTTCATCCCGACTGGTAATTCTGTGCTTTTGCGTGGTGCGGTTTCCTTTCATGCGTGTGTGTGCGGTTTTGTTCTTCACTTTACTCTATGTTCTGTTGTTCGTTATAGTAGTATCAGTACTGAAATTTCGCCAATCTCAGCTCGAGTAGTACCGATGGCTTAAAGAGGTGTCGTGTGTGTACATATCCGTTCCACAGTTCAGCACATCAATTGTTCACATCCCGGAGAAAAATCTAATAAAGCTCAAAGTCACCTGGAACAAACTATGATTGAAAATAAATGATTTATTTGAGACGAAATTCATTGCACAGCAAAATTGAGCCCAAAAACACATTAAAATAACATAGAACGGAGAGAATATGAGGGAAAGAGCGACAAGCGGACTTATAGGCTTATTAGAGTTAAGTTTCGAAGTCACAGCGGTGGTGTATCCACTTTATTGCCTTATAGATTCTAGCCAGCAAAATTCTCGTGCAAAACAAGCAAGATGAGCTGATTTTGATGAACGGGGTCGGGGCGGGGCTCAGGTTCACACTGTGGAGTGAATCGAGGGCGTTTGACTTCTCATATCGTTTGGGCTGATCGACAGATTACATATTTCTACACGAATTCACTACTCAGCGGAACAAATCAGTTGATGGCTAACTAGTTCTACAAATTATTGACTAACTGTATTTGCTAAGCTCAAAAATCTCAATGAACGTTACACAGTTTTAGCCTCCAAAGAGAAAACACTACGAACTAGAACTGTTGAGGATTAATGCGTGCCGATCAGCCCAGTTGCTGCAGAGGCGACGATGACAGGTCTTCTATCGCTGGGCCTCTTGCTTATGCATGCATTTTGCAGTACGGCTGGCCATTCTTCGCGAAGAAACTCTCGCCTTCCAAGTTCGAGTGGCAGCGCTGAAAAGTGAAAACCGGTCAGTCAAGGGATTTGTGCTTGGCTGGTGTATCAAAAAACGCTTACCGTGCAGTTGAAGCAGTTTGAGTGGAAGGCATTACCAAGGGCTTCCACCCACCTGTCGCCGGCCTCGATCGGATACTTACATGACACGCACTTCGTCGTGAACAACGCGTTCCAGTCTGAAACACTCAGGAGAAAATAGCGATACGGCAACCTCTAAGAGGGTGCACTCACCGGTTTCACAATAAGCCAAGCCGTTTTCCAAATAGAACGCGGTGTTTCCGAACGGTTTGTGACAGTGAGCACACGTGAAGCAGGTTGGGTGCCATTTCTTCTGCATCGCATTCAGACAGTCCTGTAATAAGAGTCACGTTCTAAAGAAGATAACACCGAACCGCTCCTCCCCCCTTTTGACTCTACACTAGGCCGCACCTCATCTAAACCAAGAAGTTTCAAAATGAGTAATACAGTTAAAGCTGTAGGTGCACTCCGCTACTAGTTTAAAGCAACAACTCAGGATAAAGTCATAGTCATATCATCATGTGAGCAGGAGAGAGTTGTCTACGTGGCTTATAGTATTGCCGTTGGCCAAAAGGTGCTCAACCAAGGTGTTAGATCTTCACAAACAAAGCGAAATTGAGAAAAAAATGGACGAGTTTCCTTGCTCCCTTCCTAACGCGGTGTGGAGTATGGCGTAGAGGATAGATAGCCGATAGATAGATATGATAGCCGCATGATTGATGCTGCGGTGTTCGGAAATCTCCTCTAGACACGCGTTTTTCTCATCCCAAGATGGAAGAGTGGGGGTTCTCATTGGGAGCTGTTATCCTACCTACCTGATCTATAGTTGTTACTTTAGTAGAATGATACTTTCTATGGACATGGTAGGTTCGCAACCCTAGACCTTGCATCAGTCCTACGGCTTGAAGAAAGGCGACGATGCTGCTGGGGTGTTGCCAGTGGTCCTGAATACCGCGGGGCGACCGCTGCTCCTACTGCTCGCTCTGCTTGGTGTCCGAGCCCCTTAGTGAGTGCGTTGTACTATCTTGCATATGCTCCCTTCTTGGCGTGCCGATTCTTGCCGTCATCACACGCCCGACCTTGCAAGAGCAAGCCTCTTGGTTTCAGTGTTTTGGATGCTTTCTTTTGCTTATTCTTAAACCTGACGTTCTCTTTGCACATGAACATTCATTTCTAGATGAAATAAATATAAACTTTGTTCGCGAAGTCTGCCTGCAAGGGCAAACAGTAAGGATAAGAATGAAAGTGAGCAGGTGATCAAGGGAATCACATAGTGATCACGAGAAACTGGGTGTTAACGAAATTCTGCGAAGGTTTCCATAACGCCCTACAGCGGTGTATTCCGCAACCTACTTGAGGCACAAGAGCTGATACCCAACAGGCAAAAATTGATAGCCAAAGCAGGAATGTCTATTTTGGTGGTCCGATTCTTTCAAAGAGGAATAGACTATTGGGAGAGCCGGGCATCAGCTGATCGCTTTTTATGGTGAAAACTTTCCCATAGTTCTTTTAAGGAATCATACCAAATGTGGAAAGTGAACTGACCGAAATGATGGGCTTGGCGCATTTGGCACAACGTGGGGCAATGTGCGCTTCGAAGCATCCCTCACAGTACTTGGACCCGCTCTCCTCGACGAAACCGCATTCCAGAAGACGTCGTCCACATCCACGGTAGGCGCACACGAAATGTTCGGGACACCACGCCAATCCAGTTGCCAGAACGAACGCACCTCTAAACTATGTGTGCACTGATGAGAAAATCCAGCAGGAATGCACGTATGCTAACGAAGTTAAAGGTAAGCATGAAAGCTCAAAGCGGAACAATCCTCTCGTTCAGAAATGTGGCGCGCAGTCCACTTTTGCTATGTGGCATTTAGACATAGTTTGGCCTACGTTAGCGTTTTCGTGATCTCTTGCTGCTTGTTTATAATGGTTTTTCTTTCTTAATTGGCACCGCAAGAGTGAATCGCGTGAAGGACTTGTCCGACGTATGGTCGCGGAGCTTTAGGTACGACCCGCTTCCAACATCTCCTTTTCCGCATTAATGGCCTATAAAATTTGAATCTAGTCCAACCTAACCCTGCTCCCAGCAAAGGTATCTTCGAGCGAGTAAGGAAGGAGGAAGGAAGAAGGAAGAATGCTGAAACTTGACGTTTCAGCCGCTCTACCATTTTTGCCCACCCCCATTTTTCCCAAGTGCCTGCCACCCCCCCCCCTCCTTCACTTCCAAAAGCCCCAAGGGCAACCTCTGGTAATTCTCGTTCGTCGTTCACTCTAGACACCACACGATCGTTCTCTGGGAAAGCTGAAGGGTGGGTTAGTAGGAATACAAGGCTGGATTCGGGATTTGTTCCCACCTCGCACGATTTATGAGCCTTTTTTACTGTGCCTTCTACTCTCAAACGAAAATATAAATGGAATTCTCTACTAGACGGACGCATTTGAACATCATGGAATGTTGGAGGATGAACATCTTACGAGGAAATGAAATGGATACCCTTTTACTGCCTGCACGCAGACAGGATTTTATTTGAAGGACGTACTGAAATCAAGTTCGCAAAATAAATGAACTGGATTCCAGTGCGGCCATCCCTTCTTTCCCACCACCACTTCTTTGCAAAAGTTCTGCTTGGAAGCCGGACTTTTCCCGAAAGTACTCTTTGGCCACTCATAATGTCTATGGAGCTAACCTTGAAGATGGCTGAAAGGGCCTATTGGCGACTATTTGCTATTATTAGGTTGTCTCATAAATAGTGTCGCTTTTTTCATCTAGGAAATCTTCATCTGAATCCCCATGCTTTTACATCGGGTCATATACCATTCGAAATAGAATTGTCTGCTCTATAAAGTGCTGTGTTCCAATTCCACCTATGTTTAAGGATTTTTGAAATTAAGGCCTGCAAACCACCTATGTTTAAGGATTTTTGAAATTAAGGCCTGCAAAATGGGAGGTCCAGCCGTTTCCCCCAAGGCAAGATAAAGTTAGAGATAATTGTCGGTTTGGTCATTTTTTGCCGGCTGCACCTCCCACTTCCCCGTCCTGAAATTTGAGAACCCTGAAACAAAGGTGGAAGTGGGACATAGCATTCTGTAGAGCAAGCAATTTTCTTTCGAATGGTATATGAAACGATGTAAAAGTATGGGGATTTAGATGAAAATTTTCTGGATGAAAAAAGCGACACTATTTATGAGACAACCTAATAGTTGTTCACATCTTTGCCGAAACTGTCAAGCTGTTGAAGGCTGTGAGCGCAGTAGAAATAGAGCAAAATAAGTTCTAGCATTACTACATAAATTTTCATTCAGATAAGATCTAGTAGAAAGAGACATTATGCGTCTGGAGGACGGCACTGCACGGCAGAGGTCGTTTAGACGAGTTTATTCTTTTTACGGGGCATGACGACAGAAAATCGTGCTTTGGTATACATGACATTAGATAAACAAGCAGGACGATAGGATGCTGGCATTGAAGCATTAGAGGAGTCAGTGCCATAATGATGGCAGTATCCCATACGCTTCTGTCACTATTCGGGCTCTTCGGGCAGGGCACGTACAGTCAAGGAGATCGAAGAGTCCGATACCCCCCTACGCCGGAATAGTAGCAGTTTCGCTCTATTGTGGGCAAAACCTCCTCTTATGTAGGCATATTCGCCCTTATCCGCTTCTAATTTACTGAGTCGCTTTTCCTTGATAAGGAAGATTAGTGTAAATGCACTTCGTTTCGATCTCTATGCAACACGAAACTCACCTTATTTGCTGTTTGCACGATTCGCAGTAAGGAATTCGACCACCGGGGTTACCAGGGTTATTGAGCGAGCCCTAAATGTGATTTCATGATACCATTTGTGACAGGTCCCTTATGAGTGGAAACTTCCATTAGGGAGCTTCACAGTACTTACGTGTCCTCTGCCCTCCTGTAGTTTTCCGGCCGGTGCACCTCCTACTCCACCTCCAGTTGTCGTGCGTTGCTCACTGTGTTGCTCAAAGGTAGAACGGGTGTACGATTGGCCTTAAGATGAAATTGTTAGAGATATTGGAACACTTTGATGAGGCTCAGGAACTTCACCATCATCGGCACAAATTCGCTCCAATTTTTCGGCAATGAAATCGCCAGGACCTTTGAAGCGATCCTGAGTCTTTCCTAACTCTCCACCCTTATCACAGAGACTGAAACACGAACATGGACATGACAAGCACAACAACACAACAACAAAGGCCATAAAGCAACTAAGGCACAAAAAGCACACAGAAATTCAATTTCCGCCGCTTTAGAGAACCGTCACTTCGTTCACTACGCATGCCTTGCCTAGTACAATGCAAAAGGAAGAACTCTTACCTCTCAGCCTTCATCACAGATGGCATCGGCGACTCTTGCTTCGAAACAGCTGCTTTGGAAGCGATAATTGAGGTTGAGGTGTCTAATTTTCTCAGAAAGGCGATAGCGCTGTCGAGAAGTGCGCTCAACTGGTCCTGTTGTTCTTCCAAGTTGCTCTGGTGCCTTTCAATGCATTCGATAGCCTTCTGCCTATCCTCTTCCCCCATGTCCTTGAGACCCTGAAGACGTTCATTGAGCGCGGCAACGATGGCGAAATCTCGCTCCATTTGACTCTCATCGTTCAGAAGAGCCATCGCCTGCTGACGCCACTCCTCCTTCTGATCAGAAACCGTTTTCGTTTCGGTTGGGTTGCCTAACTTGGCCAGTTCCTCCTTCTGTGCCATTTCTAGCTCCTCCCTCATCCACTGCTCCTGCTCATCCGCCAACTCCATTTCGAGGGTAGAGGTATTATCACTCTTATTGTCGTAAGTCTCCGATTCGTCACCATCGTACGGTGTCGCGGCGTCTGTGGACGACGTCTCCTTGTCCGCCGGAGGTGTGAATGGACAGGAACTTGTTGGGGACAACTCGGCTAAAATTTCTTCTTCATTGACCACCTCACTGCTGTCCTGCCATACCTCAGGAATAACAGTGGCTTTTGAGAAATCGACTTTCTTCAGCACTTTAGATCGTTTTGGCTTTTCCTCAACTGTAGGGACTGGTGAAGGGGAGCAGTTCTGAATTGAGAATGGTCGAGGAGTTGTGTTCACGCCAACCAGAGACCTGTACTGCTGGTCCTGTACGGATGTATCAACTTCTAGCTCATGAAAGGACTCTTCTGGTGCTGCGAATGCAATCGTTGGTGAAGTTTTTCTGAATGGGACTGGTGACAGTGCTCGAATTATTCCCGAAGGCTCGACTGTGCTTGATCGTCTTCGCGGCAACTGAATAGTCGGGATTGGAGAGGTACTCGAGTCAGTTGTGTTCGGCGGGAAAAGAGTATTTGTATCGTCTTGCGCAACTGGCTGGGAAGTGCTCATAGGGTCAGACTGTGTTACATCTATTTCTGTGGCTTCAGGTAATTCCATAGGGCGTTCAATTGTGGGAGTTGCCTCCCTGGGGAACTGTGCTTTCAGTTCTGGACTGCTCGGCGCGTGAATAACTGTCCAATGGATTCCGCTGTTGATGGTGGGCTTGGTTGGCGAAAGAGTGGCAGAGGCTGCCGAGTGCGTTGTGCTGTTCTCGACTTGAATTGAAATCTCCTGCCGGTCCGAGTTGTTTTCGAACGTTTTTGAATAGACGACTTGGGGGACCAACTGTGGATTTTTGCGTGAACGTCCTCTTCTTGGGCTTTTTTCATCCTCTTTGTCTGTAGCCTCCACCATTTCATATAGTGACGTGGGTTCGTTTTCCTTCTCCTTTTTGGATTGCGAGGCGGGATCGATTTGCCAGTATCGAAGAGTGGGCAGACCACGGTCAGGTGGCCACTGTCTCGGCGACTTTGCTGCTCGTCGAGGTGAGACAGCGCTTCGAACTGATGCAGGTACACGAGACTCTGAAAAGACACATGGAAACGGACAAATGGACGCAAACACAGGACACAAACTCGGACGCAATACTTTTGTAAGCTGAACTAAAAAAGCTGAAGCCAACACAAATTTTTACGAATATTCACAATTTCCCATTTCCACGACACGAAGCTTAGCAAAAAGCACCATGAATGCCTGGTCATAGGCAAACACTACGCCCTGGGCGGCAATCAGATGCTTGCTCTGAGGCGTACGATCATCACGCCCGTCGCTGGTGGAGAGAGTACGTCTCTGCATCAGGATGTAATGCCCCCCCCTCCCCTTACCAGCATCACGGCGTCAACCAGTGCAGGGGTATCCGTCAGGAGGCCCTTGGCGAGACGAGAAGGTAGAGACACAGACGGGTCAGCAGACAAGCTACAGCGTGTGCTGTAGCGATTCAGCATCAAGTTAAACAGTAATACGTCCCGCATTGTGCAGTTCACGCTGCGATTCGTATATCTGCGTCTCCGCCTTCTAGCCGCGCGACGGGCCTCCTGTCGGATACCCCTGGTGCACGGAGATAGTTATGTGTCTTTTACGGTGCATCCCTATACTATGTGTTACAGAATGTGAATCGAGCTAGGGAATGGAGTGAGTTTTTCTTTTCAGCTTCATTACAGAGATTTAAGGAGCTACTACAGTGCCTGGACCGAAGTGGCAGTGAAGAAAAGGGACCTGCAAAAACTAAGAACGTAAATCGTTATCAGAATTTCGTTGCCTATATTCCAGGATGGTTCCAATAGGCAATATGGCTCTCCCTTTTATAGAAATTTACTCTCACCTTCAAGAAAGCACACGATTTCTCTCGTTTACGAATTTTTGCCGTCCACTTACACTTGGCCTCTATGAAAACTCCACAGGCTGACTTTTCTTTCCTGCCGAGCGGGACAGATTTGTTTAGAGCGGCTTGATGCCATCAAGAGGATGGCAATCATCTTACACACAACAACAGCCAACCTGGAGGAGGATTTGAAGGGATTGGGGGCGGATTTGGCGAGTGCTCCTGCTGCGGATTGTGCTGCACTTGTACAGGACGTGCGCTTACAGCAGTACTGCTTGCGGTGCTTGTGTGTTGCTGGGTCGTGCCATAATTCACCGATGATGGTACTCCGCGTAGCGAAGGGCTGAAAGTGAACAGATTTAGATGAAAAATCGGCCGATGAAAATCTCTGCCACATTTTTCTCGGCATCAAGGTTTCGTTTTACATGTTTTCAAAAATTTTTCCCTTTAAAGTTTCGTCGCGTATGTACATACAGTAGCGGTCAAAAGTTTGGAAACTTTTTTATATTTGATCTAGCGCGGCCGACACATAACGAAATTGTTTCAAATTTAGATATTACATTCAAAATCAAGTCCAGAATATGATGGAAAGGATAATTTTCAGAAATCTGTAATCATGTTCAAGAAATAAGATTTTTATCAAGAAATGGCGCGTCAAAAGTTTGGAAACTTTTTGTTTCCCTCATCGTTATGCCTACTCCTCAATGTTCACTTGTTTCTGTTAAATTTAGTCCAACCATTAAGTAATGTGTAATTTCAAAATGAATTTGTATGCAAAGGAGCAGTTTTCCATGGGTGATTCTTTTTTAAACCCTGCAATCCGGAATACGAAATAGAAATTGTTTTTTAGTAGTTTAGTCTCTACGAAGCAATATTTTCGAATGTTTTTAGTGTTTTTGGGCCGAGTAAACATAAGACAAATGATCATTCACAAAAAAGTATTCTCACAAAAAATTGGTCTTCTTCAAATACTTCGAAGGGTGGTTGGCACGCCCCGTACCCCCGATATGCTCAACTAATAGATGATTTTTTTCTGGTTCGAACCTAATCGTATGAAGTTTAAAGGAAGTGGCGTACGGAAAGGAATTTTCACGTCGCGGAAAACTGCTCCCCACAGAGCAACTAGCAGGCCACCAGGAAGCGATGTGTGGCGCTTGCCATGCGAACATGGCTGTGGTTGCTGAGCAGGACCATTGCGCCTTCGCCCCATGCGCCGCCCGCCCCATGATTCATCGGTGGCTTGGGCGAGCCGTGTTGCCAGCCGCAGCGCGGTTAGGCGCCATGCCTGCTGTTCGTGCCAGCACGCGTGCGCCAATTCTCTGTCCACGTTAAAGATTGTCGCTAACTCTGTCCACGGTGCGCGTCTTCGCCGCAGTTCCATCTGGAGAAGCCGCAATTAAAACGGCCCAACAGGGGTTCCATGTCTCTGGTTCCTGGACGATTTCGCTGCTTTCTTTCGCCCACTGATGTAGCCATTAGGGCACCCCTCGTCCCCTCTAAACCCCATTCAAACCTAGCGTAACCGCTGCCTTTAAGCAAAGCCCAACATCGATCACGACCAGGTGAATATCACGGATGATATCCAAACAAGAAGCCATTGTTAGGCTTTAATAGCAGGATGGCCCAACTGGCTTCCGCACACTAACGGCTAACATTGACCTAAGGCGAGAGGTAAAACTTAGTCCTCAGCGACGAGCAGGATTTCTATCTTCCTAAAAATGATGTTGTGGACCCTGTGAAGTGTTCAGTCAAATGGAAACCTTACTTAGAGTATAAGATCCCAACATTCAGAAATAGTGGAAGTATTGCCATGGATGGAGATGTGTCCGACCATTCGGCGATTCCCCAGTTCTATGTATCCAGCAAAATGTGGGTTAGGGTAAGTACAAGAACAGTCTATATTTCAATGCTTCGCTTCGATAGTCGGAACTGGCCGAAAAAGATGAGTTTTCTATCGTGGAAATGACCCTATGCAGGCCTACCTCCTCACTGCCGCCTCCCTAAACCCAGAAAAAGAAGCTGTTATGAAGACCAAGTCGAGCTCTAAAGTCCAATCGAGTTCTACATCCCGCGGAAGACTTGGCATGTCGCTCAGCCCACATTCCAGTTAGGAATCACACCAAGCAATGTGATTTAGTTCGCAGTGTGCAGGGTTCGACTTAAAAGTCCTAAAATTATTTTATAGTCAACTCCGTGTCAATAAAAACGACGCTTACATGGAAATTTAGAACTACATCGAATAGTCAATTTATCATGCAGATTCGAGAGCTATTTTGTCGAATTCGCTGTGAAAGAAGTTTCCAAACTTTTGACGCGCCATTTCTTATAAAAATTCGTATTTTTCAAAAGGGAATCTCGTTTTCGAAAAATTGTGTTACTTGTCGTAATCTACCCTTGATTTTGTATATAATATGTGAATTTGGGGCAATTTCATTGTCTATTGGCTACATTAAATTAAAAATGGAAAAGTTTCCAAACTTTTGACCCTACTGTATGTACGTATGCATGTGAATATATCCAGTATTCAAGCACAGATTGCGATTTTGGCATGAGATCAAAGAAAAAACATACAGTTTGAGCCACACAGTTAGTAGGTGTGGCAACTACCATACTAGTTAAGGCGAAGCTGAGTTAGTGGTGAATTCCCCTATTTTCCGGTAGATAAGCTCTAGCTAGTGTCACGTAAAAGCCTCCGGTCGTGCAGTGTACTTGCATACACACACAGACTACCGTAACGCCAGGTGGCGCCACCACTAAAAGCGAGTGTCGTTTTCGTAATCGGGACATCGAATTACCTCTATGACCAAAGTTGTGGTAGGGTGTAGGTCTACGCAAGTACATCGCACGAGCGTCGGTGTTTTTACGTGGAATTGGCTAGGGCTTATCTACCGCAAATTAGAGTACACTTAAAGGAAACTCCCACGGAAGACTGCTTATCCTTTCTTTGTGTACAGGTGTTGGGCATGGTCATCGAAGACCATACACCAAGTTCAGAGGGAAAATGGTGAAACCCCCAAGAGAAATAACCCTTGGAAAGGCCCATCTGTTGGACCGGATTGGACAAGTAGGCGGGACCGGAAGTGCATCTGTGACGAAGTGCGTGGCAGGTGCGGATGCACGGGTCAGATTATGGGAGGGCTCAACATGAATCCTGTTCACGTTCACGCTTTTGACACGTTTGCACGTGTTGTCTCCACGCCGCTAACAGTTGTGGAAGTTTTACAGCGGGAATTCAAAATTTTCAAAGTCGAACTGGTTATCATAATTATTATCAAAACCATCGCCTATGTTCCGTTCTTTTTGCTACCTTCATGAAGCAAGGGGCCTAAGGTATCTTTTGTAGGAATTGAGGCGATGTTTTTCCGTGGAAGATTCCTTCAACTGTTATGGGCAGGAGTGCTTGAAAGATAACAGCGGACTGTGCTATTGCTTACTGCTACTTTGTGGTGATGTTCAAGTACTTATTATTATAGCGATAACATACAGGAAAACTACTACGGTATAAATACGAAAAAACAAGTCGTTGCAGCGCCCACCGAAGCGCCAACAGCCCTTGATCAACTTGTCGAACTGGTGAAGAGAGTGTCGTTTCTCGGGTTTATAAGCATTCAGCTTGTTTTTTTTTACAGACGAACCATTTGACACCTCTTGCTTCCACATTTCAACATATTCAGGTTCGCGGCCTTGCCTTCGGAGACACAGCCCAGATAGGAATCGGGTGAACGATTTGCTTTGATCTTTGCGATGAAACCGTATAAGACAATCACAGATGTTACGGCTACAGCCTTGCAGAGGCAGCTTCAGCGGCTTCAAATTTGCAGGCTGTTGTCTGGTGCGCTCTCGTCTGTAGCGCTCTCTCGCCTCATACTCTCCTCTCGCGCTTGGTCTCTCATTCCTTTAGCACAGCTGACTATGAATGTAAGTGAGCTCTGAACCTGAGCGTTTCGACGGATTTTTCTCCTTTTTTCTTTACTGCCGGCCCATTTCACACCTACACATCGTATTAGCGTGCAAAATTCACACTTATGTGGTCATGGGGCATGCCTCTGAAGCAGGGTGAATATCGGTAGAGGGAATCCTCGACAGGGGGTCGTACTCATCAAGCTTGGTCATGAGGGGTCGTACTCGTGGGGGTCAGTAACATCAGTGGTGCAGATAGGAGTAAGAGGGTGTAGCGCAACAGAAAACGAAGATATGTGAGGGAACATGATTGAAATATTCTTTGCAGGCTCATTCGCTGCATTGTTCTACCTTCATGGTGGGAGATATCTGAAAGCAGTACGAGCGAAAATGCATCTCCGCAAGGAGCGGGTCCACATGTGCACATTCTTTATAAAGCCTCCTTTATGTGACGTGTTACTGTTTCTGTCAACAGGCAGCATATGTATAACACCTTCAATAGATTCTACAACATGAGTGGAGGTCGGATGCATGGCCTATACTGAGACGAGATCAGACGATGACGATTGCCAGTTCCTTGTCGCATACGTTGGGAGAATTTATTCTAGACGCATTCCGAGCACTGTCAAGAAATTACGTTTGCAATGGTGAAGAAGGGAGCGGATTTTTGTGCGGCCGAGAATCCCGTTGATAGATCCTCGACGCAAATATCTCCTCAACTAGACAATGTAGAAGGAAGCTGAACACATTGCTAGAAAGGGCAAACCTTCCGCTTTCCAAATCTGCCCTCGTTTTCCCAAGGTTCTACCAAATTAGAGAGATATTGCCTTTTAAGTGGCAAAAACTCGCATGAAAACTCCACATCCTCGACGTTCCCTCGACGAATTTTGAGAGACTACATCTCTTCGAATGGGAGGATTTCATAGCACTTCCAATGCTGCCTGGCAGTAGCAAATCTAGCTCTATCTAACCCGACGGCGTGCTGTTTAAAGGACGAATTCACGCTGGAAAGGCAACCCATTTCAAATTAACTTAGGGATGGTGATTGGTACACGCAAGAAGGAAGAACTATGGGAAACGGCCCAGAACCCGAGAAATGGTACCCCTTCCTTGCACGTTGATTCGAGCATTGATGCGACTCTTACCGTTGTGCCCTCTTCAACATCACGCTCTCTCTGCTCTCTAATCAATCGCCACGTATAGATCTGCGGCGAGTGATCAGCTGGTCGGTGGGCGGAGATCGCCGGATCCGCCAACTTTGAGGCATAATAGGTCGCCGAGGTCAAATTTTTCGATACGAATTGCGCATCAGTTCGCACCCTCAGGAGGTCCGTTAGTTCCTCAACTAGGTAAGTTACTTCTTCCTCGACCTCCATTCTAATCGTGATTCCTCCTTTAGAAGGTTAGGAGATGGAGGAATGCAACCTTTTCATCGAGTGGGTATGGATTTC